ATTGTGTAAGGAACAAACCTCCAAATTGTTTTACGCGGGTAGTCGCTAACAATTAAAAAGGGATTAAACGATTGTGTAAGGAACAAACATCTTGAAACAAAGTCCCAAAAAGGGGTATTTTATTGGCGATGACTTTACAATTGGAACTAAATAGAATGTCTCCAAGGGGCGCAAGCACACGAGTACTGAAAAGAAATGTTTAAGTCTAAACTAAGGAATTGAAATTACATATTCTTTGTTTGAGAGTGTTTGATTCGGGGTCTTTTGCTCTATGTCTTTTCTTCCTTTTATATTCTCTTAATGATCTCTTCGTGATCAACCGCTAAGAAACTGTTTAATTGCTTTATAACTGCCCACTTTCTTCATGGTGGCCAACTTATCGTAGAATTGTCGTCTCTAACTGCTGCCACTACTCTTTGTCGTTCAACCGTCTTCAACTGAACATCCTTGAATCGTGGAACGTGATAAGATTACTTAATAACTGCTTCGATAACTGCACTCTTGGATAACCATAACATCTTATGTTTGCTAAGATCCTGGGCGATTCTAAGATTTGGACGAGAACAAGGTCATAACCATAGGTGACTACAAGGCACTTCATTCGCTCAAATCTTTAGCGTCTTGCAAGTTTGGGCGATGGTGTTACCTCGTTTGTAGGCTTCCACTGCATTCATTAATAACCCTATTTGGGCCTTTATCCTGAATTGTCCAATTGGATTTCATTTTTTAAGCTATTTGATTTGGGCTGCACTTTTAGCGTGTCAATAGATACAAGGGACTCTAAAGATTATGTGATTTCTTCTACGAGTACATGTTACCTTAGTGTAGGGTTTCAACTCTTCTCTAAGTTCTTTATAGTTGGCAGTGCATGGCAAACCTTGTAATGGCATGTATAGTACTTCTTCTAGACTCCTACACCTACTCATTTTCAAAATTGAAAGATCTCCCTCAAAATATCTTGATCTTGTAGATAGTAGATACAAATAGAGACCTTCCAACCTTGTGGTTAGCAAGAGAGTTAACTACATTTGTTTCCGAATGGCAAAGCAAATACATTGTAATGGTAATTGGACTAGATGCATTTAACTTCAGGCTACCTTGGATGGAGGATCTTAACTTTCTAACTTTCTTATAGTATAGAGTGCTCCTATTCAAGTCATTCTTCTTTGTTTTTAATCATTGCCTTCTTGTGTGTATTGCTCTGCTCTATTGATGAACTCTAATTTTTCTTCATCGCAGATATATTGTTAAAACTTAATCAATGAATTATGATTATTGGGTGACGTCGACATTATCTCAATGATCAGTCATATCCTTGACAAATAACCGTGTAGGATTTTCATAAGCCATGTGTAATTTTTTGTCCAAATAGACGGATAGAATTAACATGGGTGATGGATGGGTAACTTTGTACAAAAATGAGTGAGTACTCAATTATTTTTTATTCTTGGGTGAACAAGTAATAATTGAACCTAAATATTAGTGATGAGTGTTTTAATTGACTAGGTAAATAAGTACTCTCTTCTTTCATTTATATAAGCTGACTTTCCTTATTTTCTTGTCCCGTTTATATAGTTGTGTTTCTTTATTGAGAAAGTATTTGTTTTGTTCATTTACTGATATACCCATATTTACTTTGTCTAATTCATCCACTTAATCTTGAAACTGTACATATTTTTATTTATCTTATTGAAATTATCCAAATACACATTTCCCACTTCTTCTTGAAAATATAGACAAAAACACATTTACTACCTTCTTCACTATGATTCATGTGATTCTCCTACTTCTTCACCGTCATGAATACAAAAATATGCTTATAATTTATTTACACACGATACTGTCTTTTGAAAAACACATTCATTTACAAAAGCATATTCACACACTTCCCACTTCTTCACTGTATTCTAAAAAATATGTCCCTAATTTTTCTGCATATGCGATTCTCTTATTTCTTTGTCTAAACCATGAGTACAAAATCTATAAATAGTCTACATTTTAATAAATCCCAGTGAAAATAACTGTACAACAATTTTTAGAAATGATTTTTACTCGAAGAAAGCAGTGAGGCCATTGCCTGATTTGAATGCTCTATCGAAAGAAAATGTTTATATTTTCTCTTATTAAGAGTAGTAACATATCATTTTTCAGATGATCAAAATCTACACCCAAATTTTACGAGGACCAGATTGCTTGTGACACCCCGAACTTAAGCTTCGAGGGTCACGTACTAAACATAATAACTTTAGTCTTTGGTACATGTAGATACTCTTAAATAGAAGTACTACATGTTAGAAACTTATTTTCAATTTGGTAAAACAATTCTTATAAAATTTGATGGCCGGTAAAAGTGTATGTCAACATGAAATTATACATTACATATACGGCCTCGGCACTATCAAAGTTAGTTGGGGCAGCAAGTTTGACAATTTTTATAAATTCATCCCAACTCCATTTTACATGAAATTTGTGGCATTAGAAAGATAATTTCAAGTAGTTTTCTAGGTTAAAATATGAAAATTTTCCAAAATTATATGATATAGACGTTTTATTGAAAACAGTGAAGTGTTGCATAGGAAATCCAGATTGACCCCTTGACGTTAAAAAATTTATATCTCAGGTCACAAATATCCAAATTGAGTGATTCCTTCGGCCATATTTAGAAAACTCAAGGAGGAAAACAGAAATATTTTTAGAGTCTCAAATGGACCTTTATAAAGTTAGAAACATCATTTTGAAATTGACTCCAGAAACTGTCCCGTTTCTGCCTTCTGTCTCTTGTAAGGAAAATAAACTACAAAAATGTCTCTTAACATAACATGAAAGATATAATTACAAAATTTACTATTAATACCATATTACATCATGTCATGAACATATTTTTACATAATACCATAAGAAAAACAGATGGAAAAATAGTCATCGAACAAAGCATACAAGAGGAAACTTTCGGTACAAAATATCTTTGTCCTTAATCCATCATCGATTTTGCCAACTAACTTCCATCAATACAACGATCATGGATCTGAAAATTTAGCATAACATACTATGAGTATAAGGAATACTCAGTAAGATACCATGTTTGGATTTTTATCATTATAATACTACACAAAAGAATGCAATCAAACCCATACTTGCACATTCCGACTTGCCGGTGCCCTTCGGACTTGTCCTAAGACATAAATAGATATCTAACTTTGTGGACTTGTCCACCATAATCATATTATGGTTTTTCATGCATAGCTTAAGCATAAATATTACCATGAAGATCATACCCCTTAAGCATAGAAAGTATCTTACCGTAAAACTAGAAGAATCTTCGATTGAGATATGAATTGAAAGTGTTAGGCTTACTTCCTTTTCCTTTCCTTTCTTATTTTCGGTTTTTTTAAATTTTGAAGAAGGATTAACTTTTTACCAGAAGATTTGACACCTTTTTATCAGACGGCGTCAAGTAGATATGTCATAATGGATGGTTGAGAGAGAAAGGGACAATTTAAAAGGTGTACCAGCCACTCCCAAAAAAATGGTAGCAGCGTCTGTATTAAGAAAACATTGAGAAAGAGTATAACAAGATTCATTTATTCGAGTCCATGCACTGCCCAACTAAAGTCCAACCACCCAGGACTTTAATGATTTTCTTCAATCTTTTCAATTGCTAAAGTATTCCCCCATAATTGTGGTGAAATCATAAATATAAAGGTGGAATGTTTAACGGAATTAAGTTAGAATTCCATGTTATCTTAGGACAATGGATTCAAATGTTTTTACCTCAGCATAAGAGGGTGAGAGCGCTAGAGAGAAAATGAGGTAGAGAGAAAGAGAGTAAGAAAGAACACATGCCAATTCTTTCTTGATAGGTAAAAAGATAATTGATCAAGAGGAAAAGATTAAAGGAATAAAGCAAGATAACAAGCCCTTTAGCAGCTCACTTCGTTAACAATCATTTTTAAATAATTAATTCCTTAATGTATCTTGTGGACATTGTAAGCAATAAGATTTTACGTACATATATTCTACATGAGTTCACATTGCTTATAGTTCAACCAAACTTTTAATCCCTAACTTGGAACTAAGCCATAATTAGTCAATGCCATGAACAAAATAATGCACACATTTTTTAATATATTCTCCATGAGCTACCCAATAACATCATACACTAAATAATCGCAATTGCATATAGGGTTACCACTTCCTTTAAATGTACTCCCTCTATATAGTATTTCCCAAACTATAAGTCACATCCACTTAAGAAACTGTATTTTGAGATCATATGTGGACATGCGTACATGCGTGTATAACATCAAAGGGGAGGCCATCAGACTTGCAACTTTGAAACCATTGATTAACATGGGAATGGACCTCATTTGGATATAACTCAACTACACAGAACTTTTAGATTGTATCTTGTCAAAAATTTTAGGTAGAACAGAAGATATGACGATAGAAAAAGGAGAAGAATTATTTGTTTACCAACAGAAAAGATTATTAGACACAATGTCCATGAACACAAAAAATAATTATAAACCATATGCATGATATCATATACTGAAACATGAAAGTTCCAAATACAATCTACAAAGTTCCTATTGACTCGTAAGGTGCCTAACTACATAAAGAAACTGCAGTTGGATATAAAAGTTATAAGATACTGCAAGCTTTGTAGGTATCAGGTTAAGAATGATAGTCTCACTCACCAATTCCATCAGGCAGTCATATGCCATTTGGAAATATTGATTTCGCCCCTGTTTGAGTCCCAGTTTATCCGAAATGCATTTTTCTCTTTCCTTTTTTAAGGACACATTCTCCTATAAAAATACTATTAAACGTAAATCCAAAACTTTTCTTCTTTTTTAACCACTCATTCTTCAAAAAATCACTATTCCAAAATACATTTTTCCCAAAAACACATTTTAATGGAGCTCAAATAGGGGCTTAGTGACATACAAGGAAAACATAAAGTGAAACAACCAAGAATCAAGAACATTGTTGTGTTGGAGCTCAGACATATGCACCTAAATAACATACTTGTGTGATGGTAGAGTAAAATCCAATCCGCTTCCAAAACCACGCCCTGCTGCATTAGCTCCCCAAAGGGGCATTCCATAACCTGGACGAAACCCTTTCTGCATGGGAACAGCACCTGTTATTCCTGCTGGTCGCCAGTCACCTCTACCACGTCCAGCAATAGGGCCAATGGGGACAGTTGGACGAACTTGACCCGGGATTCCACCAGGTCCCACAGAAGCAGCTCCAGGCATAGGTGCTGCACCAGGTCTCACGTACTAAATGATTCCCAGTGGCAAAAAGGCAGGGAAAGAAAACAAGTTAACATAGTCGAGGAAGCAGTTAAAAGAATGTAGTAAAGCTTTCGAGCATATTAGAACAAATAAAAAAAATAGTGAGATTGCACATTTATGAAATTCAAAGTTCCAAATTATAGTTATCTTTCACTACGTTAAAGCAGACCCTGCAGAGACTTAGAAAGAGAATTTAATCAATAGACAAAGTACTAGATGGTACATAAATACATAAGTTGTCTTTTCTGGTTCAACGCAACATCAGCACCAGACAATGGTTATTTGCTAAAATAATTACTATTGGTTTTAAACTTCCCCTACAGTCTTAATCCCAAAATTAGACAATGAGGAAGTACAAGACAATGGACTTGACAAGAACCATTCATGATTAATTGAAAAGGCAGTTTCAGTTGTTTTCCATACCATGCTATTCAAATTAAATAAAAAATAAGCTGTCACCATTTTGTTTCAAATGCGATAGAACTTCAGAAGATATCAAGTAAAATTCAAAAAATCTGTAGAGATAAAAGTCTTGAAAAGTCAAATGCTACTAGCAAACTTAGCCAAAATTAGCTTTCCAAAAAAATTCTCGCCATTTTAAAGTCCAGTGGCATAATTCATCCAGGTATGAGATACTTAAAATTGCAGTGTGCAATTGGCAAATGATACTAACGGTTTCATACATCATTCACAATATGATTGATTTAGGGTTAGGGATAAAGTGGGAAGCTTCCTAGAGTGACTTAAATGAAATGCTCATTAATACATCGCAGTTCGTTTTCAAGAATTTTTCGTGCCAGAGTGCTGGTAGTGACCATTTACCAGGTTATTGCAAATGCCTACAACAATCTAGCCGTCGTACCAAAATATACCGATATGTTTCAGAAATCATGTTTGACCATGAGTAATAGTGACAGAAAACAGAACTAAGAGCGGCACCAAAAAATCTGAGCTCTAGTGATTACACATTTGACATGTAATCACGTGTTAAATTTTCCAATTATCGTTTCAGATGCATCTGGATAGAAACTATTAGCTGATAAATGCTTTTGGCAACAGGAACTGCGAAAAGATTGTATTCACATGCACTTGAATGAAACAATTCATAGCCTATCTGCAAACTTCTGATTGTAAAGGGTATTGCCTAGCCTATAAACTCAATAGGCTTCTTGCTCCCCTGTTGAAAGATTCCTTAAATGGCGCATAATTGCATAGTTGATTGATAACTTTCAACATAACCATAGACTTTAGGTTTCCAGACATCACTATATACAAGCATTACAAAATAACACAAGTCAGAAATTAGTTTCATGAAGAATGTAATTAATTTCATTGACAGTGAAAGATTACAACCAGTACAATAGTTAACCCCACCAGTAAAACAAACTCTGATAAACTTCAATATCACTAGTTTCCACACTTTCACCATACAAATGTAGCAAGTACAACTACAATCCAATTTACATTTCAAGTTCTCATCGAACAAGATGCTGACCTTGAATTGTGAATGGAAGGGATGATGGTAAGCATGACTGCTGATCCCAATCTTAGACTGCACGACTGTCGAAGCCACCGCACCTCCTCCACTTGCCTTGGCTGCCTCACCCAACTCCTTCCTTTCTCCCTCTGGCCCAGGCCCCACATCCTCACCATCCCACACTTGCTCCTCCGTCATCTGCGAGTGGTGGTGGCCTGTGTCACCATTATCCTCGACAATCACCAGTGGCTCCCCATCTTCATCGTCATTGTCATCCATTCCCGCCATTTTTTCGATCCCCATTGGCCCATTCAACACTATCTGCAAGTCGTCTTCACTTTCTTCACTCTCCCACTCGTCCTCAAAATCTTCTCCCCCACGATTCTCCGGTTCACCTGATAATCCCGGGATCAACAACTCCGAGCCAATTTCTCCAACTCCACTTTCGCTGGCGAAATTAACACTTCCTTTCTTCTCGTCCACTGAATTATTGGCATTTCTGTTCATCAAGTTCTCATCTTTCTCGACCAAATCATCATCTTTATTGTCCCCCTCTTCCACTACGATATTAATATCATCCTCCGCCACCGCAAAATTCGAGCCCGCAGAAGTCTCCGAAACCCTACTTTCAAACTTCAACTCACCACCCTTGTTCCCAGGTAAACCTGGAATCCCCTTTCCCTCTTGATTCGAACCCAAATTCAAATTGAACCCTCTCGGTTCGGGTAGGGGTTTTTCTACAATTACGACATTCAAATTCAAACCATCGGCCGATTGGGAATTCGAATTCCTAGAATTTTGAGCTCCGTGCAGAATCTCTTCATCGTCACTATTGATCCTCGGATCGATCGAGCGACCCTGAAACGACGTCGATTTGATTCCGGCTGCCGACGCATCAATTTGTGGCTGGGAGGCTTGAAACGTCGTCGTTAGCACGTCCGTGTAGAGATCTCCGAAGTCGTCATCTTCCATGTGTGCGTTTGTACAGATGAAGGCGCAAAGGGGTTTCTCATGTAGGGGTGCTAGGTAATGGAGGTGACCAGAATCTATATGTAGATATTTGTGGGTATAGCATGAACTAACGTGGTAGTTTTCTATTAGCTGGAGGGTTTGTTTAACACTAGTTGTTTGACACTTATTTTAATGAAGGTCAAATAATTTGTGATTGAAAATATAAGAGAAAAAAATTTATTTTCACAAAAATGAAAATCAAACGAGGCTCTGATACATCTTAATTATTAATGCCACATGTATATTATGTCTGAATGTCTGTAAATAATATTATTCCTATTTTTTTTTTCACAATTTGAGTTGAAGGAGAGTTACTCTTCAAGTCGTGGCCTTCTATTAAATGTATAATTTAGTCCCTATAATTGATTGATCACAATCTCGATAACTTTCTCGAGCTCGTAGCATTTGTACACTTGACAGAATTAAGCTTCATATAGTAAACCTAAAGACCACGGAATGCTCTTACAAGATTACATCTATATAATTATTGTTGACCTCAAAATTTTGCAAGAAGTAGCCAACTCTTTCTTTTAAAAAAATAAATAAATAAAAGGAAGAAGAAGAAGCAAATATCGTTACATCGTCATCCTCACCATCTTCTTGTATGTTATATGTACATTAGGAGAACAAGGTAGAATACAATGTCACTGTTACCAGGAGTGGTGCATCATTTGTATCCACTTTGATTATCAAGCCAAACATAAGTTGGATACGAAATTTTTTGTCTAGATTGTGAAATAATGCATACCCTGTACTGAAATTTGTTCGTGGTATTCACGGGTAAAGTGTCAAACAAAACTGTTCAAACTTTAGCTAATTTTCCCACATATCGAAGGTCTATCATTACCCTTTTTTACATCTAGTTGATGTCATTAGACTTGAGGTGGCCCAATTCTTTGCACTAGAATGGTGCTTGTAGGCACACAACATTACTCTATTATAGGTGGCCTTTTACCTTCAAACTTTCTTGGCAAATAATTGGTACACATTGATATTTAACCATTTGGGAGATATCTCGATAGACAGTGATAGGACTCGACATCTCGTTCAACAAAATATTTTTGACCATTTATCCCAGGTTGTCAAATGAGCATATCTCTGCTGCATATAAGATCCTCTAAGGGGTAGGTTGGTTGGATATGAGCATTGTTCCTCCATTGGAGGCTCACATCTTTCATGTTAAGTTCAAGTTGAATTGGGCTCTTAGCTTCACGTAATTATAAAAGATGATTGTCCATGGTTCGGCGATCAACTTCTGGTCTTGAACAAAAGTCTAACGAGATCATCTGAGTCATTGGACACACTTAGCAAACCATAGGGTTCTCAAATGTGTAAAGTGTCTTTCTTTTTTATCAAGGCGAAGTTAAAATTCTGTGATGCAGATTTTTGGCCAACATTGACAATTACCTATATGGTCTATATGTGGCTCCATCCAAGGTACACGTTTAACAACTCTTGTGTAATTGCCAACATTTCAATGGCTATTGACTTCTATCGTTTTTTCGAGTTGATTTACAATTTACAAATACCAATTTGACAAGTTCATAGAAAATGAGTTCTGTATTCTTAAGGTAAAATGTGTGGTCTTTTGTCAATATGAAAATCTAGTTGAATCTCAAGTTTTCATCCACAGACCACAAAGCTCATCAGCACTAGCTTGTGTATCCTAGATAATGAAAAGAGTATTAGTACGTTTGTTGAAGATGTAGAACAATATGCCTTGTACAATAGAACTTCATATTTCATCTCAAATACCTTTTGACATCATATTGTTTCCTTATTCATGACCGTTGTTGGTTGCTCTTTTTGTATCCCTGACATGATTATTGTGAGCACAATAATATTCTTTGTTGATACTGTTTCACGCGGGTAGTCGCTAACAATTAAAAAGGGATTAGACGATTGTGTAAGGAACAAACCTCCAAATTGTTTTACGCGGGTAGTCGCTAACAATTAAAAAGGGATTAAACGATTGTGTAAGGAACAAACATCTTGAAACAAAGTCCCAAAAAGGGGTATTTTATTGGCGATGACTTTACAATTGGAACTAAATAGAATGTCTCCAAGGGGCGCAAGCACACGAGTACTGAAAAGAAATGTTTAAGTCTAAACTAAGGAATTGAAATTACATATTCTTTGTTTGAGAGTGTTTGATTCGGGGTCTTTTGCTCTATGTCTTTTCTTCCTTTTATATTCTCTTAATGATCTCTTCATGATCAACCGCTTAGAAACTGTTTAATTGCTTTATAACTGCCCACTTTCTTCATGGTGGCCAACTTATCGTAGAATTGTCGTCTCTAACTGCTGCCACTACTCTTTGTCGTTCAACCGTCTTCAACTGAACATCCTTGAATCGTGGAACGTGATAAGATTACTTAATAACTGCTTCGATAACTGCACTCTTGGATAACCATAACATCTTATGTTTGCTAAGATCCTGGGCGATTCTAAGATTTGGACGAGAACAAGGTCATAACCATAGGTGACTACAAGGCACTTCATTCGCTCAAATCTTTAGCGTCTTGCAAGTTTGGGCGATGGTGTTACCTCGTTTGTAGGCTTCCACTGCATTCATTAATAACCCTATTTGGGCCTTTATCCTGAATTGTCCAATTGGATTTCATTTTTTAAGCTATTTGATTTGGGCTGCACTTTTAGCGTGTCAATAGATACAAGGGACTCTAAAGATTATGTGATTTCTTCTACGAGTACATGTTACCTTAGTGTAGGGTTTCAACTCTTCTCTAAGTTCTTTATAGTTGGCAGTGCATGGCAAACCTTGTAATGGCATGTATAGTACTTCTTCTAGACTCCTACACCTACTCATTTTCAAAATTGAAAGATCTCCCTCAAAATATCTTGATCTTGTAGATAGTAGATACAAATAGAGACCTTCCAACCTTGTGGTTAGCAAGAGAGTTAACTACATTTGTTTCCGAATGGCAAAGCAAATACATTGTAATGGTAATTGGACTAGATGCATTTAACTTCGGGCTACCTTGGATGGAGGATCTTAACTTTCTAACTTTCTTATAGTATAGAGTGCTCCTATTCAAGTCATTCTTCTTTGTTTTTAATCATTGCCTTCTTGTGTGTATTGCTCTGCTCTATTGATGAACTCTAATTTTTCTTCATCGCAGATATATTGTTAAAACTTAATCAATGAATTATGATTATTGGGTGACGTCGACATTATCTCAATGATCAGTCATATCCTTGACAAATAACCGTGTAGGATTTTCATAAGCCATGTGTAATTTTTTGTCCAAATAGACGGATAGAATTAACATGGGTGATGGATGGGTAACTTTGTACAAAAATGAGTGAGTACTCAATTATTTTTTATTCTTGGGTGAACAAGTAATAATTGAACCTAAATATTAGTGATGAGTGTTTTAATTGACTAGGTAAATAAGTACTCTCTTCTTTCATTTATATAAGCTGACTTTCCTTATTTTCTTGTCCCGTTTATATAGTTGTGTTTCTTTATTGAGAAAGTATTTGTTTTGTTCATTTACTGATATACCCATATTTACTTTGTCTAATTCATCCACTTAATCTTGAAACTGTACATATTTTTATTTATCTTATTGAAATTATCCAAATACACATTTCCCACTTCTTCTTGAAAATATAGACAAAAACACATTTACTACCTTCTTCACTATGATTCATGTGATTCTCCTACTTCTTCACCGTCATGAATACAAAAATATGCTTATAATTTATTTACACACGATACTGTCTTTTGAAAAACACATTCATTTACAAAAGCATATTCACACACTTCCCACTTCTTCACTGTATTCTAAAAAATATGTCCCTAATTTTTCTGCATATGCGATTCTCTTATTTCTTTGTCTAAACCATGAGTACAAAATCTATAAATAGTCTACATTTTAATAAATCCCAGTGAAAATAACTGTACAACAATTTTTAGAAATGATTTTTACTCGAAGAAAGCAGTGAGGCCATTGCCTGATTTGAATGCTCTATCAAAAGAAAATGTTTATATTTTCTCTTATTAAGAGTAGTAACATATCATTTTTCAGATGATCAAAATCTACACCCAAATTTTACGAGGACCAGATTGGTTGTGACACCCCGAACTTAAGCTTCGAGGGTCACGTACTAAACATAATAACTTTAGTCTTTGGTACATGTAGATACTCTTAAATAGAAGTACTACATGTTAGAAACTTATTTTCAATTTGGTAAAACAATTCTTATAAAATTTGATGGCCGGTAAAAGTGTATGTCAACATGAAATTATACATTACATATACGGCCTCGGCACTATCAAAGTTAGTTGGGGCAGCAAGTTTGACAATTTTTATAAATTCATCCCAACTCCATTTTATATGAAATTTGTGGCATTAGAAAGATAATTTCAAGTAGTTTTCTAGGTTAAAATATGAAAATTTTCCAAAATTATATGATATAGACGTTTTATTGAAAACAGTGAAGTGTTGCATAGGAAATCCAGATTGACCCCTTGACGTTAAAAAATTTATATCTCAGGTCACAAATATCCAAATTGAGTGATTCCTTCGGCCATATTTAGAAAACTCAAGGAGGAAAACAGAAATATTTTTAGAGTCTCAAATGGACCTTTATAAAGTTAGAAACATCATTTTGAAATTGACTCCAGAAACTGTCCCGTTTCTGCCTTCTGTCTCTTGTAAGGAAAATAAACTACAAAAATGTCTCTTAACATAACATTAAAGATATAATTACAAAATTTACTATTAATACCATATTACATCATGTCATGAACATATTTTTACATAATACCATAAGAAAAACAGATGGAAAAATAGTCATCGAACAAAGCATACAAGAGGAAACTTTCGGTACAAAATATCTTTGTCCTTAATCCATCATCGATTTTGCCAACTAACTTCCATCAATACAACGATCATGGATCTGAAAATTTAGCATAACATACTATGAGTATAAGGAATACTCAGTAAGATACCATGTTTGGATTTTTATCATTATAATACTACACAAAAGAATGCAATCAAACCCATACTTGCACATT